CTGCACCGGGGCAGTGCGTCAACAAAAAATCGTCCGGAACAAGATTGTGCAGCTCGCTGCGAGTTGGTTGCCCAGCATGGCATCGCTCCATGTCGCACAGCAGCTCCTCGAGGCAAGGTCCTACAGCGGCTCCATTGGCAATAATTGCCTTGTTCCAGGCGATGCCGCGGTGTGCTTTCTCGCTCAACAGATTCACCGCCTCGAGGTGCTCCGCACAGCGGTCCTGAAACCCCAAATATTTTTGAACCTCTTTGGCCGAGAACCTGTTCTGCGTTTGCACTGCCGTGGCGGTGTCCCATACCGAGAAATTGTCTGCAGCGATCAACAGCCGGGGGCGTGAAAACATCTCGTCGGACCTGGTCCGTCATGATGCACTGACACTCACCTATTCGGGGGCCAGTCAGGCGAGGCACATCCAGTGTTTCCATCTGCACCAGATGCCCGACTCCGACCGGAAGATCTCCACGTCCTCAAGAAGCACGGGCATCGTCTGTTTCTCACATGGCACAAAAAGCATCCCTCCGGATCTGAGAACCTGACATGAACGACCCGCAATCGTTTGACATGGATTCCCATGCTCTCGCGGATGGAGCCGAACTCCATGGTCGCCGCAAGCGTGTCCCAGGATACGTTCCATCCCTGCAATCTCTGCTTCACGATATCGGCCAGGTCCTTAGACGGGTTCGGAAGCAACGACAGGCAAATGTGGCGGAGCTACTTCGGTTTCCGGGTTAGTGTTCTGCCGAGCTTCTGGCTCAGAGATGTATGTCTGGCCTTTGAGGGCGGCAGAAAGTCTGGAGAAAAACCTGTCAATGTGGCAGTGAGTGTGGCCGACCATCTTGAAGCAGAACCTCAGAGTAGATAGCCGGGTCGTTCGGAGACCTCGATTGCAATGAGGTCCGTTCTTAGCAACAACAGGCAGTGGAAGCCGTGGCAATACAGCCGAGAAACGAATCAGGAGGAAAACTGAGGCACAGAATATGGTATTGTTCTTTGTTTCCTTCGGTGTGTTATCGTTGCTGATGATCAGCGTTTCAGGAATGTTGCCGCATTGCACGACCTTCTGGTGCAGTGCATTCACCAATATGCTCATCTGCATGTTCGCGCCGTGCTTGCAGTTCTCGTAAACCTGAGGTGTACAGGATGCCGCCGAAGACAGCAATTTCCTGAATATTTTTCCGCCCAAGGCACGGAGAAACACTGTACCCCGTCATCCGCGGTGCCGTTCCAAATGATGCCGACGACTCCGATGACGAGTCGCTCCCCCGTTTTCATGAAAGGTGTCCTTTGCCTCGGATTTGCTTCTAAAGTAGCTCCCCAGAACCCAGGAAGCTCATGCCAGCCGAAGGCCACTGCAAACCGTTGCATGATTGCAAGTTAGGCGCAGCTCGTGGACCGTGGGTGTGACTGTTTTCAGCTGGTCCATTTTGTCTATTAGGCAATGCCAAATCCTGCCCCCGCTGCGTCTAGCTCCCTCGGCAAGCTTCGCATCGGCTAACCGCTGCGCGCCTTGGAAGGCGAAATGCCGACCAAGCCGTGACTGTAGATCATCGAGCAGCGTGGCATCTGATCGGGGCGTGCTGGCGATGAGATTGTTGAGGAAGCAGCAGGTCTGGCATCCCGTGAACATCGAATAATTTCTCTCGATGACAACCTTATATGCAGCAGGCAAAGACCTACCGCTGCAAACACCTCCCACCCAGGTGACATCCAGGACTGCAAGCAAGATGCATAAGAGCATTCTACCCGCCAAGCCAAATCGAACACCTGCCGCGACGCAGCCCGGAAGTCCATTCTTCCCAGCATCTCCTGACCAGTTGTGGAGTCTGCACAAACGTTTAGGTTTTTATTCCCTCCCAAGTTTGGGGTTTAGGGTTGAGGGGTTTAGGGTTTAGTGTTAATTTTGTGTTTTTTGGTCGCCCGCTTTAGGGTTTGGGGTTTACGTCTTGAGACCAGCATACACTGTTGGAAGTCTCCTGAGATCGGTCGTAACAATACGCTGCGTAGTAGAACGATCGCTTTCCCGCGGGGAGATGGATGTGTCCTGGCTTCGAGCAGCAGCGAACAACTAATACATGGAAGACGTGGTCGCGCCTGTCATTGGCGATTTCTCGCCGAACCGCTCCGCGTAGCTTTCGATCCACGCCCGACAGTCCTAACTAGGAGCCAGGCTGTTCGTGTGGTATTAACTAGCCAATTCAAGTATTACTCTGCCGCAGAGGGGCCAAGTAGGCATGTCTCTTGGCAACGTTTCTGATGTCCATCCACAGACCTCGTTCTCGCGGGGACAAGACTGTCTCGACCTTAGCAAGACATCTATCTGTGTTGATGTCGCATCCATGAACTTGAGATATATTATATACATATACAGCTTTAAGATTGTCATGTTTGACATGTTTCTGCTGCCAGCTCACTCCTGCCGCTGCTCGTTCACGGGCAAGTTGAAAGGCACCAGCCGAAATCCCCGTCAGATGGAAGAACGCCCTTGAGCAGACCTTCTGTCCCAGAAACGAGTAGTCCTGGTTGCGAGCCACCCGAACTAGTCGCTCGCTTCGGGTCCATCTGGGCAGGCTGGCCCACAATGATCGCCAATTGCGAACCATCTGGGCATCAAAGCAATTCTTGCACTCGTGCGGCCGAGCACCATTGGCGCAGGGCCGCTGCAGGTCTGCTTGAATGGCAGTCCCGGAAAGCAAGCGACTGCCTTTGATCAGTCTCCTGATGTGCTGGCTTTTCGACTGCCAGACGCCACCTCCTGAGATCATGGTTTTCCGGGCTCAAGCTATTCATGTTGGATTTTATGTAATAGAGCATCCGACCTAGGAACATCCAGACTGCTTTACTTCTGAGCAGCTGTATTTCGTGGCTTTGAGCCACTGCGCAGCCTTCTCGTACTTTATCCCTGATCGTTCTGCGCCCTCTTCCTCCTGCTGCAATTGCAAGTGTGCCCGTTGTCGAGCCTGCCGCTGCACATGGCCATGGTCCGTCTTTGCCTCTGGCTCCAAATGCTGCATGGCCTCAAAGTTGGTGACGACTTGGGTTCCGTCTACTGTCGTCGCACGTGGAACTAGTTAGACAAGATGCTTCAATAAGCTCGAGCGTCGGTGCAGCAAATGGATCCCAAGCAACCAGAACCTCCACCAGCGCCAACTCGCGAGAAACCTTAGGCAGAATCCAGTCAAACGCATGGGTTGACCCCAAAATACGCAATTCTCCGTGCCAGAAGGTGGCTCTGTCCTCGGACCAGCACCTCTGTTCGTCTACAGCAGCACCATCTCTGACGCTCGGCTCCTCTTCCTCTGAGTCCGAGAGCAAAGGTACAGCCGGGTCGGTGGAATGGAGGATGGTCGGATCCTCATCCCGCATCGGACATAAAGCCCAAAAATGAAAATCATTCACCTTGGCTGCTACAAAGCGGACGGATTGTAAATTAGGATCCACACAAAAGCAGATCCGCAGAGACCCTATTAAGTACACTTGCATGCCAGGCGCAAGTGCCACAGGAACCATACCCACCGCCTCGATTCCCATGAGCGAAGCGCCGAGCAGTGCGAAGTCCACTCCGTCTTGGTAGACACATAGGTCCACCTTGCTTTTGGCAGCATGCAGAACGATCAGTTGCAAGTTTAGCTGAGACTGCAATGGTAGTCAAGGAACAGCAAGTGCACACCCCAGGCAATGCAAAAAGGCCGTGTCGACCCAACACTTGCTCTGCCGCATGGCTGTAGCCCAGTTGTCGACAGATTGTTGAGAAAGCAAATGAATCAAATTTGTTATCGTGAAATCTGGCCAAAGTTGAGCATCACGATTGTCCCTCGCCCACGTTACTGCGAGCGTGCGCAGCCGAAGATTGGGTGTCTTTGCTTTCTCCTTCCACAAATCTTGCCACGGCTGCCGACGCAACTTCCTGATGAGAAAGTCAACAATGAGGTGGTGCAGTTTAAGAACTCAGACCCTGACAATTCGACCTGGCCTCAATGCATCGATGCTGCGACAGGCCTGCCAGAAAGCATCCACGCCGCAACTGCCGTCTGTCAAAGTATTGACAACCTGCAAGTTGTTGGCAGCTGCAATTTCGACGAGGCCAGCGGGGCAACTCAAACCGCCACGCCCGTGGCCAGTGGGATGCATGCATCCCTCGAACGCGTCAGCCCACGTGGCATCGAAAAAAGGTTTTGACATCAATCGGCCAAGTAAGGAACTCAGTACGGTTGAAGCTCCGTCTTCGCAAGCTACTAGTCATGTGAGACTTCGGGATTTAATTTCGGAACTTCTGTTGAGGCATGAAGACGGGCTCCTGCCGTAATCTCTCATGACGGATAGCTTCTTAGTGTCGGCCTGCGAAACTGTGCATCTGCACTGCGGCATGAATCAAACTTGACATTGCTCTCTGCAAAGAATCATCCATGCTGGTTCGTCCCACCACCGGAGGCAACTGCACTCTTGGAGAGCTACCACTACGACATCTCAGGTGCATACGCATATTTTGCAAAGCTCACTCCTCCAAGTTCCAGTCTTTACCTTGCTTCAGGTCTCTGCTCTGTGCACGCTGCGCACTCCAAAACAGATCCGGATTAGTGGCCCCGCCGATAGACAGCCGAAATCGAGGACACATAATGATTGAAGCCTAGAGCTCTCGGTTTAGCTCAAAAGCCCACGACTTGGCCACAAGGGATCCTGATGCGCAGAACGAGTGCTCTGAACTAGATCGGATCAGCGGCCCAGCCCTTACCAGTCAAGCTGGAAATCGAGGACACATGACTGAAGCCTACAGCCGCTGGTGCTGAAATCAAAAGCCCAGGGCTCGGCCAAAGAACCTGATGCACATGCCGACTACTCCAAAATAGATCGGATCAGTGGTCCAGCCCATACAAGTCAAGCCGAAATCCAGCACACGTGAAAGGAGCTTACAGCTCGCCCGTATTTTAAAGAAATGCCCAGGGCTCGGCCAAAGAAGATCCTGAGAAGTGGCCTTGACAAATCTGGTAGCAGCAGCACATCTAAAGACCGCTGGCTTTACCGAACATGGACAGCAAATTGCCGGTGCCGGGAGAAGGGCTGGGGCTGGAAGTCTTGCTGCCAGCCTTGTTTTTGCCATTCCCCTTGGAATCAGGCGTCGGAGATTGCCCAGTCCCACCCGTCGGGCGGGGTGGCGTGACCAGAATCGGAGTCACAGGCCCAGTCACCGGAGCACTCTTGGGCGCCACGGCAGGATTTGGCGCGGTGCCACTGTTGCCACTGCCGACTCCCATGGCAAGCCTGTTGTCTTTCTCAAATTTGACAAGCTCCTGCGGCTTTGGAAGGGGCACGAAACCCGGAGTGAGCGACTTCTGCGCCACCCACCGTGTCAGATTGCCCATCACATAAGCCTGGTGCTTCACGTTCCTCACCAGCCCCACGGCTCTGCAGCCGCTCAAGATGGCACCCAAGAGGCCCTGCCCCGAGCCCGCCGTCAGCATGACCAAGACTTCGGCTCGGAAGATCCTGGTCTGTCTATTGCTTCGTGGAGGAAGGCCAAGCCTATCGAACCAATTTGTCACTTTATCCGAAAATGCTCTGTCTGGTCTGTTATCTAAACCTCTTTTAACCCCTTCAATGGACCATATCGGAAGTAAGCCACGGCACTCCAGCATGGCTTGGTACAGCACTGGGGAGTGTTCGTGCGCAAAGGGTATGATATGATTCTCCTTGCACTCCGCGGAGACATCATAACCGTCTTCCTCGCCTTCCTGCGTGGCCTGGCGGTCGGGCGCCTCGTCCGCGCCGAACAACAGATCACTGTCTTGCACTGTAATCTGCTCAGTTCATGGACTTGTAGTAGAGGCACTGGCCATTTGTTAAAGTACGTGTCGCACTCGAGGAATTTGCTGCGGCCCTGCAGGCACTGCGAAAAGCCTTTGCGGCAGCACGCTACCAGCTTTTCTTCGATTTTCTGTCCGAACGGGCGCTTGCCACGCCGGAAACGTTGCAACATCGAGGCCTCGTGCGCTTCGATCACTCCGACCACCAGCGGCGCCTTTAACACGGAGATCTCTTTCTTGACGATCTCGAGCGGAGAAGAGCTCGCACGCATGTGCGAATCTTGCTTGCATGTAGCGATGAACACCATCTGCTGCCCGTACTCTGTATCTGTGAATTGAAGTTCCTCTAGCAATGAGGACATTACGCAAATGCATAAGCGAGCAAAGACAGAGACCCGCTGGCCTGGAAGCAGGCCACCGCCTTCTCAACTCTGTCTCGGCTGATTCCTGGGCCTGTGCCTGCAAAGGCATTGAGCCTCCTCTTTTTGATGACCTCCCAATCTTGCGGACCTTGGCAAGAAGTGGGTCGGTTTGAGAAAGTCTATATTTTGCACACGCCGAGCATACGATTCCTTAAGACCCCGACCATCCAATTCCGCCCCATACACCACAAGCTTGATCTTGTTCTCCCGGATGAGCGGGAGCTTGGCCAGCTTCTCCTTGCCCATGTCCTCACTGATGACAAGGGTGATCCTGTCACGAACGAAGTTTTTGGCCGCGGTCATCTTGTGGTTCTCAGCATCCGTATTGTACTTGGCCAACTCGACTCTGTATTCATCTTGGCTGGAGATGACCTTGGACAACGCCACCTCCAGCGCTGTGTCACCGATGGAGTGCATGACGGCGGTATCGGAGGCGGTGCTGGATTTCGCCGGGAAGTCGACGGCGTAAAAGGTGGCCACCTTTTGCAGCCTGAGATGAGACTCTGGGGCGAGATCTGCAATAATAATGCGCCATAATGCACAAAGACACAAATAAGGTCGGGGGGCTGCTTTGACAACACTTCATCCTGCGACGTCATCGCTAGCATCTTGCCAGGAACAGAATCAGCAGCGATCCTGCACATGGACCTTCCATGATTCCAAAATTGCAACCAGCTGCAACGCTGTATACGGACGACAGATTGATGCGACCGAGCAGCAAATCCATGCCAGCCTTGCAGATTCTGGTGCAGAGGCCCACGAGGATCTTCAGGCTCGAGTAGGAAGAAACCGGACCCTGCAGCACACTAGCTTGCTGTGCGAACATTCTGCTTGCATGTGACACCCTAGCCTCCTCTTGAGCCTTCTCGTCCTCTTCAACCGGTTCCGGCTCCTCGTCATCACAGGTCGCAGGCTTCGCCTGCCGAGATTGGATAGTCCCGCAAAAATAAAACCGCGAAGCGAGGGACATGCCAACACAAATCCCACCTGTGCCGCATACCAGCTAAGCTTTCCAAACTCGGCAAGCTGACTGTCGAGCTTCGGATACGTTGCTCGAAGATGAACGAAGAAGTCTCGGCGGATGAGAATGGATTTCAGGACCTTGGGGATGTCGAAACGACCTGCGCCGGCACGAATGGGAGCCAACGTTCGGCGATATTTCAGCTCCTGCTCCCACTTGAGAGTAGTCACCTCATTTTATTGAACACACAAGGACAGGAAATACAGAAATCAAGTCATCTCATGTGTAAGTGGAGTTTGGTCACCACGTAGGCATTCTCTTCGTCGGTGAAGTTGAGTCCTAAAGCTGGTCACATGCACTCTTGCAGAACACAGGCCGCAGACAGTCTTGTCACCATGAATTTGCAAATCAGTGGCCCAGGAGTGCACGCATGACGGCCACGCCATCGAAAAACGACTTTCGGCCGAAACAGTGCTCCGAGCAACTCAGAGCCCCCATGGTCAGCGGGCTTGCCGCCAGCTTCCGTCCCATACCCGAGTACCGCAGAAGCGTCTCGCTAGTCCATTTGAGCTCCGGGTGGCTCGCCAGAATTTTCTTCGCGAGGGCCTCCTCTGATTTTGTGTCGCTGACCGCACCCTTGCCTTTGTCCAGGAGCGCTGCAATCACGACGCATTTCCTGAAACAGGAGGCAAGTCAGATTCCGAGTAAGATCTCAGACTGTTTGAATGAAAAGAACACTGTCCTGGCTGCACTCAATCCAATCACCTGTCGTTCCTCTTCCTCCTTCTCCGAAGCCGAGAATTTGGAGATGGAGAATTCAAGGTCTGTCCCCATTGATCTGAAAACGTAGCAGATGTCTCTCAAGCTGCGTAGCATCCAAAACTCCGCATGCTCATCTGCCCGCATCATGTGCACAAGCACGCACACGGCAGCGATCCTCACTGTTCAGTTTGCAGGCAGGACAGAATCCACACTGATGTGCTGACGTGCTCTGGTAATTCAAGCAAAGGCTCCCCGCATCGTTGTCGGCACGGACAAGATCCTGGAACCTGTCCTGCAGCCAGAGGTCGGAATTCACCGTGGTGGTTCCAAGGATCTCAGCCAGCTCGATGGGAACACCACTCCACTGCTTGGCCACGTGGAGGACACGTGCCGAGGAGAGGGCCTGGAGCGGGAATCCCCACTCCGTGAGCGACAACCAGCCCAAGGAGCCTCCGACTTGCACGGTCTTCTTGCTCGTCAGCATATCTCGTACATCCTGCTGCTCCAAAGCAGTCTCTGTCGCAGCGGTCCATGGTTCTGGTTTCGGAGCTATATAAGACGTTAGGCTACGGTTACCGATTGCGGATGTTCACCTTACACTTTTCCCCACCTCTGCAGAACGTGTCGTGAATCTCTTGGACTCAGCCTCGCGGTCAATCTTGGCAGACACATAGTCCACGGCCGTCTGAACACACTGAAGAAATTCTCCCTTCTGCACACTCTCTGCGATGAATGTCTCCACATCATAGCTAAGTCGAGCATGCTGGGCCGCCTTGCGTGCCTTAGCTGACTGCTGTGCCACATGCCATCGTGCGAGCAGTCAGAGGGCCGAGATGCGATAGCAAACTCTTTAGAAGCATTTTGCTGGCCAGCGGTCTGCAAAGAAGGATCCTCCATGGCAACATCCGTCATGGCAGAAGCTGTTCACGGCAGTGCAGGGGACTGCCGGTACCATCTACGTCCTAGCCAGCTACACAGAGCCGCGCAGAAAGGAGCAACGCCGCAAGGAACGCTTGGTTGCAGCAAACCGTCTATCCCTGTAGTAACCTGCAATGAGTCCAGGTGCAACTCCTAGCCTTTTATAACTATTATGTCAGTTCTAAACAACGCCGAGAATTCTCCGGATGTGAATCCGGACAACTCTCTGCGTTGACGAATCCGACCCCGGGTTTGAGTCCGAAGAAACCTCTGCGTTGACAGAACTAAGGTCTGTAATAATAATGCCTCATCATAAGACATATATAACATCATTATACAAGCACTACTCCTACTACTACTACTACTACTACTACTACTACTACTACTACTACTACTACTACTACTACTACTACTACTACTACTACTACTACTACTACTACTACTACTACTACTACTACGACTTACTACTACTACTACTACTACTACTACTACTACTACTACTACTACTACTACTACTATGTAACTGTACATAGTCTGCGGGCTGGCTGTTGTGCTGTATGCTTTTATGCATGCTCTTCTGTAATTCGTATTCATAACATTTTTGGCTCAAGTGAGAACGGCAGTGTGTCGTTGGTAGCTTCTCGTTGCCGCGACGCAATTGCGCGCAGCCCGTCCTGGGCGGACGTTCGACCTGTCACGGTCGTTGGACTTTCTGCTTGGACGGAAAACGAGGGTGCGTGCTGCCCCTTTGGGTTTCCGTTCTCCACAATTGGGGGCTGTTCTGGGAACCGGCCACCCAGGCGGCTGCTGCGCCGCAATCTTTTAACGTGGCCTCGAAGGCGCGCTTGTCGTGCGCCTTGAGGCCGTGGTCCTGTGTGGCACGGGGCTCTCTCCTTCGCTAGGCGACCATGAGCGCTGAGGTCGCAGGACAGCCGGAAGGAGCCACGTTGCTGAGGTGCATCGAGGATGGGTCAGTGGAGTACCCGGAGAAGATGCCCTTTATGTACTGGCTCCGTTGGCGTAAGGAAACGGGGCCCCGTCCCACCAAGAAGAAGGACGGACGATCCACGACGCTAGCAGATGAACAGCGTCTGTGGAAGGAGACGATGGAATTCCTCTACGACAACTTCGATGCCGAAGAGGAAGAGGAAGAAGATGAAGAGGAAGATGAGGAAGCTCCAGCTGCGGAAGCGGGCCCGGGTGCTCAGGATGGCGATCCGGGCCCCAGCTCTGAAGAGCTTCTGCCGGAGGCCGGGGTACCGGCTCCGCGTCCTGCCGCTGCGCCGGCGGACGTGGCCGAGACGGCGCGCCGTGTTGGTGCGCTTGCTCTCTCGCCGGTGGCCGGCGGCCCGGCCCGTTCCGGGCCTCCCTCGTCTGCTGGGACGGGTGGTCCCGTCACGGCGGAGACCCTGCAGGCGGACCTGCGGGAGCTCTACCGTCCCGACCAGGAACCGGTCGCGGATTACCTGACGCGGGTTTCAAGGCTGGTTGTGGCCTTGAAGGCGCACCAGGCAGAGGTCACGGTGGAGGATCTTGAGAAGATCACTACCAAGGCCACCATCCTTGCCGAGGAATACGGCAAAATGGGAGGTGACTGGCACCCTGCCAGGATGGTGCGGGCCCTGCGCACCAGGTTTACCGTTGCCGCGGTTTCTCTTGGGTCGGAAGACCGAGAGGAGGTCGAGAAGGAGATCTCGTGCCTCGGCGAGCTGATCTTGGCCCTGGGAGGCAAGAGCAGCGGCGATCCCGAGAAGGTTTGGAGCACTCCTTCTTCTGTCCCGGCCCTGGCGGCCCGGACGGGCGCCGTTGCGGAGTCGGGCTCTAAGTCCGGAGCACCGGCGCCTCTCCCGGTGGACCTTCAGCTCGCGATCCCTGAGGATCCGCAACCTGGTCCGGGGGACTCACCCCTGAAGTCCCGCCTTGCGGCTCTGGAGATAGAGCTCGAAGGGCTTAAGAAGGATAAGCCCGGCGAGCCTCACTCCGCCAGCGGCGGAGCCGGAGAGCTCGCTGCAGCTTTGGCGGCCCAGACCGAGGCGCTCAAGGAGGCCTTGGCGTCTCGCGGAGGTCAGACGTCGATCACGACCGTGAAGACGGACCTCCAATGGCCCTCGCTCACCGACGATCGCTCCGACATCCGGGACGTGGTCCAGTTCTACGAAGAGTTCGAGGACGTCTGTGGCCTTGCCAACAACTGCAAGGGGATGAATTTCCGGGAGAAACTCATCGCCCTTCGTGCTCGCTGCCGCGGCTCGAGGCTTAAGACCTTTACTAACGTGTACAAGGCTGCCTCCAAGACCGGGGAAGTTACTGAGAATCCCCAAGCCGTTTACGAAAGGATCAAGCAGCGGCACCTTGTCTTCGGCGAGAGCCGAGAAGAGAAGGAGATGAGGGTGGACGCGGAGCACGTCGCCCTCACTAAGGGCCGTCTCACAGGGCACCAGTTCGAGCCCCTGTTTGAGGCCTCCATCGCGGAGCTGGAGAGTGTGGGTCTTGGCAAGACAGCGAGGGAGCTCTTCCTAAGCTACTTGCGCAAGATGCCTCCACATCTCCAGAAGGAGATCCGCGGTGATAAGCGGTTGTGGCCTAGCGACGGCGCATCCGCAGGGCTTCGAGGCCCTTCGACCTGGGAAGAAGCGCATAAGGTCGTCCTCGAATATGAGCAGCGTGAGGCTGCGCATCGGGTGACGGCTAATAGCGTGTACGCAGGTTCGACGGAAGACCCAGCCCTGTCCGCCGCGCGGAAGGAGGTCGAGAAGCTGAGGACGGAGCTCAAGGCTTCTAAGGCCGCGGCCAAGGCGGCCGCCTCTTCCACGCTTGCCGCTGGTCCGAAAGGAAATGGAAAAGGTAAGCCTATCTGTTTCCATTTCCGCGACCACGGGAACTGCCCAAAAGGGGACGCGTGCCCTTACTCGCACGACAAGGAGCTCCGCAAAAAGGCCCTCGCGGCCAAGAAGGAGCGGGACGCGTCCACCCTGGCGACAACGCCGGGGAAGGGCAAGGGCAAGGGCAAGGGTGGACCCGGAGGGCAGCCCAAAGGCAAGGCCAAGGCCAAGCCCAAGGCGAAGTCCAAGGCGGGCGCGAAGCCGCCAGGGACTATCTGCCCTTTCTTCAAGAAGAACGGGTCGTGCCGTAAGGGAGCGGACTGTGACATGGTCCATTCGCTTCCCGCCACTGGGGGAGCCGCGTTGCCTTCGAACTGGGCGGCCCCGAGTGGCGCCGGGATGGTGAATCCCTTCGCTACGCTCTCCATCCAGATTGGGAGCGCTGGCACGGTTGTTGCGGCGAACTCCTCCGCTTTCCCGCTTGCCAAGAGCTCGTCGTCGAAGTTCAGCTCGTTGGACGAGCTGCCTCAGGACTGGTGGCACCTCTGCGAGAACGAGGTCGGGGGGTACCAGTACAGAACAGTCGTGCAGGTCATCGACGGCATGGTGGAATGCATGCTGGACGGGTGTGCAGGCTCGAACCACATCACGGAGGAACTCCTCTGTGGGATCCTCAACCGGGCTGCTGCCTTGGGGATCGGCACGGAGGACCGGAGGTTTCCTGTCGTGAAGTTCGAACGCTGGGTGCATCCGGAGTTCGTCCATGGGATCGCTGCAGGGAAGCCGGTGCCCCTGAAGGGGGCCGTCGTGCTGAGAGTCCGCTTTCTGGAGGGGCTCTCCCCCGACAACTGCAGCGAGGGTCCAGAGATATTCGTGCGCTGTAAAATAGCCGCGAAAGGAACCTCGGATTGGCATGGGCTCATCCTTGGCGGCCGCGCCTTGGATTGCTCGGGACGGCAGGGCTTGGGCTTCACGCCCCTTCCTGACTGCCACTCCCTGGAAACCCTTGGGATTAAGATCCCCAGGTGCGAAGACTACAGTAGGTCGCGGAAGGACCGCGCCTACGCCTTCGAGTCCAGGCTTTCTAGTCTCGACGGTGCTCTGTGCTTTGAGCCGGGTACCGGAGGCAGGGACCTGCTCCGGTACAGCGGGGAGAACCCGCTGGAGCTCTTGGCCGGAGATGGGGTCATCGCACCTGTGAAGAGGGGAGGCAGTGGAGGCCAGGATGGCTCCCTTACGGAGGCTGTCCTCCCGGTAGAGTCCGCCAACTGCGAAGCAGTGCCTGGGCTGTGGCCCACAGGAGCCGAGGAAGGTTCGATCTTGCTGGTAGGCGAAGAGGACACGACTGTCTCTCCGGGTGCCGTCGTCGGCGAGGTCCGGACCGGGCTCGCGCAGACCACCGCGTGTGAATGCGGAGGGGTTGAGACCCTCTTTACGGACGCGAGTGGTGACCCGTGTGGGAACTGCGGATTAGGCACTGCCGAAGACTCGACCTTCACTGGATGCTTTGCGTGCGGGTCCACCGAGAGGACCGCCGTCTGTGGCCTGCAAGGCTGCGGCGCATGCTCGCACAGCAGGGGTTGGCGTAAGGGCCTGAGGGTTGGGGCGGTTTTCGCCCTTGCCGCCGTAAGCACGGTCCTAGGAGGGCCTTGGGCCACGGAGTCCGTGGTTACGGATCCGGATGGCGTGTCCTTCCTCTCCTCCATCCCCACTGAGGGCCAGTGGTGGCAGACGAAGGGAGGAATGGCTGGCCTTTGGAGCGGCAGGCCCCA